CCACCCGCTTTGAAGTACTTTGCCCGGGTTATACTTGCCACCCTCATTATTTATCGTCTTCACCTGTCACAGCTCCTACCGTAATCATTACTCCAATATCCCTTGCCTTCTGTTCCGGACCCCATCTCAATACTACTTTACTACTATGGAAGTAACAGCTGTTGTCGCAGAGCCGTGGCGGCAACGTGTGTCGTCGATCACGGAAAGTTCATCTGTCAGTAGAGGACTGACTATTTCTTTGAGTTCTATAAGCCTTCTCAATAACTTGTGTGAAGTGTGTACGTGAGAGATTCACACATCTTGTAAGAATTGAGTTCTTATTTTCAGCTGTAAATACGTCAGATGCTGAAGCTCCTGCGCTCCAAGTACGTCGTCGTATCGTTGATCTGGGTCGTCTTACTCCGGACTCTTCGAGTTCCAGTATTCCCCCGAAATGTCCAACACCTACTGGATCTTTGGTTTGTGCAGATTTGATTTATATTTTGAGCTATGAGGTTTGATTCAAAATTTTATAGGAACCGAAAAAAGATCAAGGAGTGAGAAGAACGGCGTCATTCACCTTTTCCCCAAAAGGAGCTGCGGATAAGCAAAACCGACGTGTCAATGTCCCTGAGAAGGAGGGTCGGGAGGATAAAAGAAAACTTTTGTAAGTTGAAATGCAGCATTTGCTCTCAAGTTAATGCAGTCGCGTTAAATGTCTAGCAGGAAGTAGTCAGCTTTTTTTCACCAGACAATTATACATAATGTTCCTTGCCCAGCGCTTGACAAGAAACTCGCATTTTTTTCATTTTATAATAAGCCGAACTTTTGCTTTGGCATTTCCATTCTTGCTTTGGGCGGGACCACAATTTCTCGGCTGTCGTCGCGCAACTTCACTATGGTCTTTTTTGCCAAATTCTTGTCCATGGACGGCGATGAAAACATGCAAACTCCTCGTCGTCGAAAAGTCAGCCTTCCCCTTATTGTTAACCTTCCTCCTAGAAGATTCCAAAAATGGTATTCAGTTCGTGGCGAAGG